GCAAGAGTCCTTCTCGGACTGCAGGGCTAGACGCCGATCCAGTCCTGGCGTCTGGCCCCTGGACTCCGCAAAATTTCCTTGTGCGCTTTCCAAAAACCTTGTGGGCTTTCCCTTTCAGCCCAAATAAAGTGTTCTCGTACCCAAACATTTCGGGAAACATCCGGAACCCGTTCCGGTGAATTCCAGAACCCTTCCGGAGACCAAACACTATTATCCCATATATCAATCTTTATTTTCGGACCATTCCGGAGTTCCTCGTCATGTCCGTGATCACATCCGGGACTCCGAACAACATTCAGTCACCAACATACATAACTCATATAATATTATATCGTCAACGAACATTAAGCGTGCGGACCCTACGGGTTCGAGAACTATGTAGACATGACCGAGACACCTCTCTGGTCAATAACCAATAGAGGAACCTGGATACCCATATTGGCTCCTACATATTCTACGAAGATCTTTATCAGTCGAACTGCATAACAACATATGTTGTTCCCTTTGTCATCGATATGTTACTTGCCCGAGATTCGATCATCGGTATCATCATACCTAGTTCAATCTCGTTACCGGCAAGTCTCTTTACTCGTTCTGTAATACTTCATCCCGCAACTAACTCATTAGTCACAATGCTTGCAAGCTTATAATGATGAGTATTACCGAGAGGGCCCAGAGATACCTCTCCGAAATACGGAGTGTCAAATCCTAATCTCGATCTATGCCAACCCAACAAACAACTTCGGAGACACCTGTAGAGCACCTTTATAATCATCCTTTTACGTTGTAACGTTTGGTAGCACACAAAGTGTTCCTCCGGTATTCGGGAGTTGCATAATCTCATAGTCTGAGGAACATGTATAAGTCATGAAGAAAGCAGTAGCAATGAAACTGAAACGATCATAATGCTAAGCTAATGGATGGGTCATGTCCATCACATCATTCTCCTAATGATGTGGTCCCGTTCATCAAATAAGAACACATGTCTATGGTTAGGAAACATAACCATCTTTGATTAACGAGATAGTCAAGTAGAGACATACTATGTCCGGACGCGCCCGAGCAGGTCCACGGCATTTGAGGGGCCATATTTGACATATCTGGCTGTAGATGCCTAATACAACATCCGACGCATTACGCCAATCATCCCTCTTTATTCCTTCTAACAAGTACTTTCTTCGTTTCTAAATATTTGTCTTTCTAGAGATTTCAACAAGTGACTACATTTGAAACAAAATGAGTGAATCTACACTTTAAATATGTCTATATACAACCGCATGTGATAGTCCATTTAAAATCTCTAAAAGGACAAATGTTTAGGACCGGAGGGAGTAATATTTACCAGCCGCCAATGAACGAACGCTACCACCATCTCTGTTTTAAAACGATGTCATGATTTTAGTTTAAATTTGGATTAGTTATTTTAGTTTAAATTTAGATTAAAGCTATAATACTTATTTTGAGACGGACGGAGTACCTTTTAGTCCTCGTTCTCTGTCGCCAGCTACCCGCAGCTAGCGGGTTGATCGACGTCGACAGGTTCACGTCCGAACTGGAAATGAGTTCTTCCGGACATAGTACATAATTACATATATATAGTTCCTCGTGACAGGGTTTTCTCGTAAGGTTACACATGCGCTTAACGATCATTTCAACAGCTTTTGGTTGATCATTTCGTACGGTACAACAACATCATATGTCCAAATCCGCAACAAAGTAAAACCGGCCACATCATATATCCAATTCTGCAAGAAAGTAAAAACCGCACAAACGTCACCATAGCCCGTTCATTGGAGAGAAGTCGTGGCATCGTACCCCATCGTAGAGGGAAGAGATCAGCTTTCTAGAAGACTTGTGCGTCATTTAACCAATTTCATGGACTCTAACACTGATTAACAAGGAGATGAAAGCAATAGTGGGCTGCATTACCAGATCAAAAGGAGCAAGTGGGCTGCATTGCCGACGAATCAATCAATAAATACTGGAGTAGTAGTGAAGAAAAACAATTCTTGTTTGTCAAATGTCTCGTGGAACAGATGTGCATTGTCGCTGGACAAGTTTGACGGGACCATGTGCACATTACGTGCTCACGAGGAACCATGTGGTGATCATCTGATTTTGTGGTGCCACGGCATGCAGGAGCACGGAATGTGTTCGGTTTGCTGGGGTGGCAATTATTGGACGAGGGCCAGGGAGCGTCGTTCTCACCAAATGCTAACTTTGATCTTCCATGACATTCTCATGTTCCACTAGATGTTTAGCTTCAAGCACATTGCCCATTTGGTCAAGCAACAATGACTTTAGCAAAGGGAAACGGCTTTCTCTATGTTTCTTCTTTCCCCGTGTGTTTGATTAGATTGTGTGTATACAAACCAATAAATTTCGCGCCGATTCAAAGTTACTGTATCTCATTTGAGTCGTCCAAGTGCCATTTCTCCTAAAAGGAAGAAGTTAAAACTCACTTGCATTGGCCAACGACTACAGCTACATATACCAACCAAATTTTGACCGTTGAAAGCTTGCAATTCCCCCAATTGGTTTCTGCTCTAACCACGATATTACAAAGAAGGTCCCAAGTCATTTTGACTTTCCCCGGCCAAGTGGAGTGTATACCACTATACATGCACCAACCAAGCGTTAGGTCGAGCGTTTGAGACTTGCAGCTCGGGTGAAGGCTTGTTCGCCGGTAGCGGTAGGACGAAGAAACAGTGCTTCCCCGCCGAAGCTGGAGGGACGAAAATGAGAGATTGCTACGTGCTGACACTTGACAGATGACGAAAAAAGGCAGTAGAGACAAGTTTAAGTTCCAAGCCAAAAAGGCTCTAACTCAAAATTGACCCGTTCTAGAGTCTAGTCTATAGTAGTACTATTGTCTCTTCTTCCGGAGACTTTGCGAATTGCGATGGTAGTAGCTGGTTGCTTGCTGGTCCAAAGGCCTTGTCCTATGGAACGAATCATGCGAATAGGGTACGTAGGCACGACTAATAAATGTGTTCGTTTCTGATTTGTTCGTGTTGCTTATCTCGCTTGTCACGTGATGACTAAAATGTGTCCATCCTCTGTGTGTGTGAAAAATGGGAGAGATTAGCAGAGCATACCTCTCGACTAAGGGCACCCCCATCGATCCAAAACACTCATCTCTTTTGATTTACCCAAATGATAAATACCACACGTGTGGCATGAAGTAACACCGCTCTGACGTTTTTATAACTAAAATTGTCATCCGAAAAATACCCCTAAAAAAACTGAAACTTGCTATCAAAACAGAAAGTTGTCATGCTTCATAACTAAAGTTGCCATCATCGATTAACTAAAGTTGTCATCAAAAAATGTCAAGACGGAATTGCTTCGTGTCACACATGTGACGCTTATCTGGGTCCTTGATTTAAAAGAGAGTTCTTTTAAGAGAATATTTATTTCGAAAACCCCTTCATTATATTATTTATTTTAAAAATATTCATACAGTCATTCTCGTTCTTGTTAGGTTCAATGTCATGGTATGGGCTGTGTGATGGCTGTGATAACCCTCAGTAAGAATAATGGCTGTCATGTTCTATCCCCGTTCCAATGGTGTGTCTAGCATTGTCGGAGGGAGCGTGGAGGTGTGTCTTCGTTGGATCTCGCGGGATTCGGTTGGTGCTGGTTTGGTGCATATGTTTTGATCCAGTTTTTGTTCGAATTCGTTTGGTCGTTTACAGGTTTGACCCTTTCAATCTACGAGTTTCTTCATCAGGATGGCTGCTGCTCTGGTGCGCTGGTCCCGCGAGGCCTTAGCACGACGACTTTTCGACTGTCTTGTACAATAAGGTTTGTCCGGCTCTAGTTATTGTAGTCGTCCTTAGGTGGTCCACGGACCTGATTGTAATTTTTATTACATCTGATGCTCTTTGTACTTCAAGATTGAAGATGAATAAATTGAAAGTTTCTCATGCAAAATAAAGGTTATATAATATCAACGAATCCTAATCTTTCGAAATTTATTCTACACGGTTTGTTTGATTCGTAGGATTGCATTCCTTAGGAGAAAAAAAATCTTATTATTGTAATTCTTCAAACACCCTATAAAATCCTTTGAATCAAAGAGGCCCTTAGTGTTTGATATGTTCTTGACAATTTTCATGCAAAAAGGAATGGTTGCACTTCGTCAAGGAAAAAAAAGGCAAAGTCGATGCTCTACAAATGCCAAAAACAGGACCCAACTTGTTTTTTTCACAGGTCATAATTCTAAACTTTTAACCACAAAAAATTATGCATGTCATTTGAATATGGACGTTTACGTGTCTAACTTTTTTTCGTATTCTTTTGACATTCAGAAAAGTATTTTGGCGCGCATGAGATATGCTCCCTAGAGCCAAATTTAATATCTGGAAAATATGTGGATTTCTCGTAATAACTAAGGGGCGATCAAGAAAGATACATCTTCTCCTATTCACACATTTTGTAGTTTAATGGAGTCACCGTATAGTTTAGGAGCACGCAAAACTAACCGTTAGAGATAACATTCAAACATAGTTGTTTTTGTAATGTATTTTCATTATCGTCTCTGGCTGCCTTTATCGACCAGTGTAGGCGGCACCCTTAATTTTTTTTAATGTTGCACCCTTACATTTTTTTTTACTTAACACTAGTGGTAGAGCTACGGGATAGGCGGATAGGTCGTGCCTTCGTTGCTTGTTCCTCGCCGCAGCCGAAGGCGCGTTCAACGACCATGGACCATGGTTAATTAAACAAAAAAACAATTAGGGAAAAGGGGTAAAGCTTGTCTCGTAGCACGTGCGCTAGCCAACCTTTGGAACCAAACACGCTGGCGGAACGGAAGCTCTCACACTCCCTTTATAAAAGACCTCCTCTTTCCATCCATCAATCTCAAATCTCAGGCCTAATTACACGACTTGGTATTAAACACCACCCGAGCCATCAACCTCCTTCGCTCACATCGCACCAAACCAAACCCCGCCGTCCCTCCAGGACCGAGGGAAAACGCAACCAGGAGCTCGGCCATGGACACTACGACGCGGGACGGCGAGCAGCGCACGGGCATGAACAGGGGCGTGCCGCCGGCGTGGGGCGAGATGGAGACGGACTGCCTGGTGCACGTCTTCCGCCGGCTGGCGCTGGAGGACGTGGCCGCCGCGGCGCCGCTCGTGTGCCGCGGCTGGCGCCGCGCGGCCGCGGACCCGTCCCTCTGGCGCGCGCTCGACCTGCGCCACGACCACGTCGCGCGCTTCATGCCCTGGGGCCCCCTCGCCGCCGCCTTCGCGCGCCGCTACGGCGTCGCCCGCTTCGCCTTCGCGGGGTTCCTCACGCTCTGCCTCGCCCGCGCGGCGGGCTCCGCGTCCGACCTCGCGCTCCCGCCGCTCCTCTCCTCGCCGGCCGCCGAGCTCGACCGCGTCGCCGCCGGCTGCCCGAGGCTGCGCCGGCTCGCGCTCCCGCCGCTGCTCTCCGCCGCCGACGAGGCGCGCCTGCCGGAGCTCGTCCCGCGGTGGCCCCTCCTCCAGCGCCTGGAGCTCGAGTCCAAGCCGTCGTCCTTCCCGGCCGTCGCCGCGCAGCTCGCGCTGCACTGCCCGGACCTCTCCGGCCTCAAGACCTCCGGGGCCATCAAGCCGGAGGACGCCGCGGCCATGGTGGCCTCGCTGCCCAGGCTCCGGTCGCTGTGCCTCGACTCGTCCTACCTGCCCAAGCAGGAGCTGCTCGCCATTCTCGCCGGCTGCAGTCAGCTCCAGGAATTCAGCGCCAGGAACTGTGTCGGGTTCAACGAGAAGGACGAGGAGGTGGTCCGACGAGGCGCCAGGATCGAGAGGTTCGAGATCGGAGGGTCCAGATTCGTCGACGAGATGATGACCGACGACGAGTTCTGCGGCTCTTCCTACGTCGACGTCATGTGATCTCCTCTTTCAAGGCCTGATTGATTTAGTCTCATCTTCTTTTTTGCGGGGATTTAGTCTCATCTTGGTGTACCCGCCGTGCACGCGTAGCACAAAACTTGATGCGTATTGGAAACACTTGCTGTTTTATTTGAAGAGAATAATGACGCATTCGATTGCGATCACTGTGTGTGGATTGTCGTGAGTGATGGGTCTACGTTTAGGAAGGAATTTACGCACGTGTGTACATTTGTTTGTCTCGCTACGTAGTGGATACTTCCTCTGTTCACAAATATAAGAGCAACTCCAATGAGCCGACCCAAACGGACACATATTTTGTCCGCTTTTTGTTCGTTTGGGTCGGCCGTCCGTCTAGCGGATATGAGGCGAACGCACGCGGACAGTGACTGCTCCCAACGCACAGACGCAAAAAGCGGACAGGCGCACAGCAGCACCATGGCAAGCAACTCCTTTGCAGCCACCCCATCTCCTCTTCCTCGGCGGTGCTGGCACCGGTGCCGGCGGCAGGAACCTCCTCGCGTCACTCCTCTACTCCTCGCCGGCAGGCACCTCTGCTCTCAGTCGCGTCGCCCCTCCCCTCCTTCTCGCCGACGGGCACCTCCTCGTGCCGCCCCTCTGCTCCTCGTCGTGGTGCCCCTCCGCTCCTCCTCCAGCTGCATCGCCCCTCCACTCCTCCCCGCCGGCCAACACCCCCTCGCGCCCTTCGACCCCGTCACGCCCCTTCCGGATCAAGGGCGCCGCCGCGCAGGCCGGGGCTCTGGAGGCCCCCCGCCAAGTGCTTCTTCCTTTGGATCGGTGGCGGGCACCTCTCGCGTCGCCCCTCCGCTCCTCCTCGCCGGCGGGCACCCCATCGGGCCCTCCGCCCCCCGTCGCGCCGCCCCTACGCCACCCTCGTGCCGCCGCAAGATCTTGTCGGCGCTGAAGTCGGGGGTTCGCTCTGTCGCGGGTGTAACGCCTCGGATTCGATGCGTCAGGTGTCTGCCAGTTATTCGTCGGTGTTGCCATGTCATTTGCTTGCCTGTTGCATTTTGTCATGTCATCATGTGCATTTCATTTTGCATACGTGTTCGTCTCATGCATCCGAGCATTTTCCCCGTTGTCCGTTTTGCAATCCGGCACTCCTATGTCCTCCGACGTCTCCCTTTTGTCTCTCGTTGTGAGTGGGTGTTAAACGTTCTCGAAATGGACCGAGGCTTGCCAAGTGGACTTGGTACACCACCGATAGACCGCCTGTCAAGTTTCGTGCCATTTGGAGTCCGTTTGATACTCCAACGGTTAACCGAGGGACCGAAAAGGCCTCGTGTGTGTTGCAGCCCAACACCCTTCCAACTGGCCCAAAACCCATCCAAACCCCTCCATGCCCTCCGCCGTTCGATCACGATCGTGTGGGCGAAAACCGTGCCCCATTTGGACTCTCCTAGCTCCCAGAACCTATAAATATGCCCTCTCCCCCGAAATTCGCGGATGAAATCCTCCCCTAACCCTAGCCCCGCTCCCTCTCCGCCACCGAACACGTCCGCCCGGTGACCGGACGCGTCCACCCCGTTCTCCCCGTCCAGTCGTGGCCTGCCACGTGGTGCCCCTGCGCCCACATCGCCGCCGGCCCGCCCCAGGCCCGAGCGGGGCCCGCCCG